CTACTACTATAAAATGGTTTGCACTATATTGTTTTAATTAACATTTAAATGTGAATCTGCAACATAACGTGTCTCGTGCGGGTCTACGTCCCTCACGGACCCGAAGTTGCACTACCCGACCCGGCACCGACCTACCTCCTGGTGTGGGCCAGACCGAAGTCCGTGATCATGAGCCTGGAGTCCGTCCCCGGGTGGTAATATAGTAAGTTATCCGGCTTCAGATCCCTGTGAGTGATGCCTAGATTGTGCAAGTACTTCACGCCCTCCAGCACCATCTTGAGGACCTTGACCGCGTCCCTCTCCGAGAAAGGGCCTTTGGTCATGATTTTGTCAAAGAGGTCTCCGCCCGTGGCGAGTTCCATCACCATGTATATTTTATCCACACTCTCAAACACCTCCACTAACTGTATAATATAGGGGCACTTCACACGCCGTAATATTGCCAGTTCGGCCTCGAATGCCTCCCGCCCTTCCTTGGACTCGATGATCTTGATGGCATAAGGTTGCTTCGTGAGTCTGTTCTCGACCCGAACTACCTTGCTGAACGTCCCCTTGCCTATGAGTGCCTTGATGTCATATTTGGCCGTGATTCGTGGGTCGTACTTGGTCTTAAACTTGTTACTCTTGTTTAGCCTTTCGAGTTTGATCTTCTCTGCAAGGTTGTTCCCGTCGTCGACCCTAAGTTCGCACTTGACTTCGGTTTCGGAAAGTCCTTCACTCCGGCACTTCTCATCGCCAAACACATCCTCGAGGTGGCACACGGTCTTGATATCACTGCTAGATACATTCTCCACCACTTTTTTGCTTTCGACACAACCCATGACGACCCTCCGGGCAAAAATACATGCTGCAGAACTCAATAACTCACAAAAGCAGGGAGAACGTCACGCAACACCCGCACTCCAGGCCAGACCCTCACCCACTGACGGCAGGAGAGCAGAAGAGCCTTTCAATGAGTGCCTTTCTGCGCTTTCTTAACCACCATTTGTCCCGCGCTAATTGCATCGGCAACAAGTTAATGGTGGGAAACAGGGGGGTTTAAGTGATTATTTTGTTTGTCTGTATTTTAGACTTTGCCCTAATGTTGATATGTATATATATTTTTTTTTCAAAACAATTTTCACGTTAAGTGGTGTATGTAAAGTTTGATGTAAGAGTCGCTCCAAGATGGATTTTTAGCTAGCCAGATTAAAATATTAATTCTGATTCTTATGCTATAAACAAATATCTGAAGCTCATTTTAGTAAATGACTTATCACCAAAGAGTGATTTATTGCAAGACTAATGTTGCTCCGCTGCTCTCTTTTATGTTCGTAATCAGAGTCTTAGATAATTTCTTCATGGGTACACCAAAATATAAAGCCTTGCAATACGGCATGTAAACCGCGATAAAGGAAAAAAGATAAAAACGAAAGCAGGTGAAGAAAAGAAGAAATAATTATTTAGCAGAAGAGCCAGAGGAGCCGTGGCCTTTGCCGGTCAGCCAATCAGCGTCGAGCTTCAGATGACAACAATCCGCTCAGCCAATCAGCTCTCGATCTCCCTCTGCGTCTGTGATGGCGTCCGAAAGCTTTAAGGGCTGACTTCAGTGATCGTTGTCCTTTCTTTGGATTTTGTGACCTTTGCTATATATCTGTTGCGTGATTAACTGAAGACATTTTTTTAAATGTTATTTTGTGCTAAAATTATCCATTCAATGTCTGAAGCAATCTTGATGCTAAATAAAAAATAAAACAAAAACCAAAATGAGGTAATCGGACAAATGATCAAGATAACCCACACCAACATGGCTGATGGAAGGAACACTTGTTTTGAATAGAGCGATTTTAGCGTCTTAGTTCATCACCAAGAGCTTAAATATGTCTTGACTGGGTGAGTTAATATTATATCCCATCTGGTGTAATAACATTTTTAAAGAATACCGCCCTGAAGCAACGGTAAATAGACCGTCAACAAGTGGTCTTGGCATTAGCACTCAAGAAGCCTCATAATATGCTTTTGTGACGAGATTATCAGGAACAGGAAGTATTTAGACTGGATTAATATAGATCGTTATTTAGACTATTCTTATTATCAGAGCCAAAAAGAAAAAATGTCTTTGGCATGTGGTTCCGAAATAACCAAGTTCGGGCTCGAGAGAGGTGTAAGACAGGCAGACAGAAAGGTAGGCCTACGACGGACAGAAATGCAAATTTTGACTCGTTATAAGTTAGTCCTACTTCTGTTTATCACTTTAATCACGAACCCGTGGATTTGTTAGTCTGTTGATTGTCCTGTTGGTGTTCTTGAGTTGACAAGGAGCCTTTTTGATTGGGTATAATCGGGTGAGTGACTCGGTATTACACAGTACCACTAAAGGCATTTGATATGTTTATTTATTTTGTTATTAAGACAATATTAAGTAATGTTTTAGGAACATAATAGGGAAAGTTTATATTCAACTGTGCTTTGGAATACATAAGTTTTTGTTTAGTGTAATGAAAGCAGTGATGCTGTCTAATGAAGTACTTATTGAGTGAACTCTAGCAGTATATCAAAAATGTTTTACTGCTTGTTTTTTTTTTGTATTGTTTTTTTTCAACATCAAAATTACCTTTAATTGCATATCACTTCATCATCTTGATTGAACAGTAGTGTTAATACTTTCAGCATTGGGTGGTAGAAATGTGAACATGAATTGTTGTTGTTGTTGTTTTTTGATTTAAGGATAAGTACAAGGAATTGGGGAATGTTGATAAATAAATAAACCTTAATTATAAAGGAATGGCCATTGAATGGAAGTTGGCTGGATATACAGAGTTGTAAAATTGCCGAATTCCTCCAGTAATGAGTTATAGTAGTTTTTGAACTATATAGTTCTTTTCTAGTTATGTTATATTATTTAGAATGTACAAACCTGAACGTTTTGTTAATTGGTTAGTTATTATACTTTCCTAAACTTTTTAGAGTGGGTATTGAATGGGGTAAAAATACAAGAATGTATAGTTTGCTGTGCACATTATCATATGAAATTTCATCACTAGAATGATTTTTATAGCAATAGGATAATACTTTTGTGAAGACACATAACCTGACACTCCTTTCTCCTTTCATCCATTCCCTATGGTCAGGGGACATTATTTCAAGGTAATTGTAGAATGAAAGTAAAGAGATTTCTTCAATCTGTCCTATATTATTTTTGGAACTTGCCCTATAGATACATGCTAGGTGGTCAGTGAGTGAGGGAAAAGTACAACATTTGGTATTTTTTTATATTGCAAGTTAAGCAATATTTTATGATAACATTGGTATGATAGACTTGTTATAAACTGTTTATTATGTCACTACAAAAGGTAAGGTTCTGTTTCTTGGCATCACAATACTGTTTCTGAGGGGAAAAAAAAACATACCTTTAACCATTGATTTTTTATCTGGCTATGAGAAGCAAATTAAGGTACTTAATTAGATGTAAATATTCCTAAAACTTGCAGAATTAGAATTTTGTCTTAAGCTTAGATAAATTATTAAATAAAAATTGAACATGACACTGCTATTTTCATTACCTGCTGTGACATCTTTTCATGTATTATACAATACTTATACTTTTAGTGTAATGCTTTACAGTGAATTTATTGTAAATACTGTTTACTCATTTTGTATCATATAAGTTGGCAGATATATCCAGCCGATAGCAAGTTTAATCACAATGGTCACAGAGATTGTTGTCAAATGCCATTGTACAGCCAGTCCTAGTGTATTAGTTTGTTAGGTGTATCATCTTGTGCAAATCTGCATTAAGGATTTTACTGCTTTAAGACTCAATACAAAGGAAATACATTTTTTTTTTTTTTTTTTTTTTTTTTAAGTAAATCTAATTCATAGAGGGGCATAGATGGATAGGGTTGAGCAAAGAGTAGGGAGGCAAGGGTGAATCATCATATGTTAGTCTGTATAATTATGTTATTATTGCCTGTGATTAATCATCATTACAGGGATTGCAATATGTAGTATATATATGATGTGTGTACAGGCAGTGTAGGAGCATTACCTTAAGCTTTGTAATTTATAATTGGTTTGGCCATTACTTTGTTTGGTTGGGATTTTATGCCTTTCTATGTTTAAGAAATAACATCCCTGTTTGTTTGTTATTCCACAGGCTACAGTACCAGACAAAGCAAGACCCATAACTGTAATTTGGGTTGCCATATATGTTACCATGTGTGGTTATGGTCCCATTGTGATCAGAAATATTCAAAGTTAAAGAAAAATATATATTTAGAAATTGGCAGTTTACTTACAAGGTTCATTAATTGATGGAAAAGCAAGTATTGGTAGTGTCTAGACACTCTTATGCAAGTTCCTGTTACATATTAATAGAATGAGACAGCTGGAAGGACAAAACCAAGTGCTATATAGCCCATTAATTTTTGGTGAGCAAATTTGCCATTAACCAGAGGTTCATGCTTTTATTATTATTACTGTTTTGGATAAGGCACTTGATAGCTTGGCTTTATTGAAAGTAAGAACTAAAATGAGGTTTCTTACTGTACTCAGAAAAATCCTCCAAAAATAGTGTTACATTGCCAGGTAACCACTTCCTTCACATTTGATGGTGATTTTGAGGATCCCATCCAGCAGCAAGGTGTATACCCATGCCTCTGGATGAGAATGTCAGAATCACCAAGACATGTATAGCAGTCCGTATTTGTGACTTTGATTTGATTATTCTCATCAAGATTTTGAGAAGGGGAGGAAATTTTATATAAACTGCTGGGTATATGTTACTGTTATATTAACAAATACTTTGTGTAGGAGGACAGTATACTTTTCTAAGTAAAAGAAGAAACCATTGAAATATATAAAGAATAGTTTAAAAACATGTCTTACTTGATATACCTTCAGATCTCTTGTATTGCTTTTATGTAATTTTGATGTTTTATTGATAACTGCAGAAACTGAAATGATTAATTTGGATAACTCTGACAAAAGGTTCATCATAGGGTCACCATCAGCGTCGATAGCTCTGTTAAGGGGCTGACGAATCCTTAGGGGTCAGTGATGATCTTGTGCAATGAAAGTAGGTCAGAAAATATTGGCTTTTGGCCTTTTGCTATATGATGCAATTCCTGCTTTTACGTGTCTGGTTTTATTAATTCATAATAAATATGGCAACATTTTCTATAAATACTTATTGCCTACAGTACATAACTTTACATCTGGCAAAATTAACCACAATATGTGTGTATCTGTAGCTGTCACAGTCATATTTCTCATTAGGTTGAAAATATCAGTATGAAATTTTGGGAGTTTAAAGTCAAATGGGTTATCAGTAATTATTTAACCCGTTACCTATATTAGAACTGATTATTATAGATAATTTAATAGCTTTTGTGTATTATTGATTGCTGATATTATTACTGTATCTTCAGTTTATGAATTTAATATTTTATGAAGTATTTTCCATAGCTATTACTTTTAATTATTTTAAAGATACGACTTATAAGTTACAAATTATGCTCAATTTGAATATTTTTCCATATTTTAATGTTCTGTACTGTCCACTGTATTATTTTCTTCTGCTTCTTCTTCTATTTCCTCTTCTTCTTCCTCTTCTTCTTCTATTTCCTCTTCTTCTTCTTCTTTTTATATAACACAGATGGTTCCACAATTGCTCAGCCACCACAGAGTCAGATAGTAGGCCATAGTGACTGCACTTAATTTCCCCAGTCCTTGAATTTATGGGAAAATTGTATTTTTTTCTAATGCTGTCACAATTAATGCTATTATTATTTTTATTAATATCATTATTATCAACATTGCCATTCATAAATTGCTATTAAAATACCAATAACTATGAAAATAGATTCTTGCCAAAAATCAAGGAAAAGATGTGATAGGTGAGACTGGCAACAGATTCATTGGTGGCTAAGCTCTCTGTGTACTACAATTCACAAAAAACTGTGAAGATATTAATTCTCATTTATACTTTTTTTCTATGTTTGCCTCAGTGTATGGTATAACATTATTACATTACTTTTTATGGTACAATTAAAAGGATATATATATTTTTTTAGTAGGCCTATTTCCTCCTCTCCCCTCTTCTCTCTCCACTTCTCTCCCTTCCCCTCCCCTCTTCTCTCTCTCTCTCTCTCTCTCTCTCTCTCTCTCTCTCTCTCTCTCTCTCTCTCTCTCTCTCTCTCTCTCTCTCTCTTTCTCTCTCTCTCATTTTCTCTCTTTCTCTCTTATTCAGCCAGCCACCCCCCACCCCCAGACCACAATTTTAATTTTTTTTTACTAAATTACACTAATAAAGGTCCGGTTATAGCTTTAAAATGCCCCCAGAATTGCTAATATTTCTACATTTTTGTACACTTCTCTCACCTCTTTGCCCCATGTGGTGGTCTGTAATTTTATGGGTTACGTCAGGTATGTCATTTTGAGCTCAGTAAAACATGAAAGATCTGATGGCAAAATTCTAATGATCTTTATTGATGTCAATGCAAGGCCAAGGAATTATGCTCGTTAGGCGTTAATGCTAACGGGTATGATTATCCATCACATTACTCCATATTGGATTGAAGTAAGGCAGCTTCATGAAGATATATTTGTATTATACTGATACAAGGCACAGGTACATTGCTGTGCATAATTATGGACTATTGGATCGAGTTTAGATGATGTACATATAAATAAAGCTAGGAACATATTTAGTGCTTGTGTCATGAAGCTCTATATTCAGTAAATATCATGCATCTGGCAGAGCTGCTCTAAATCTGGTAACGCATCACAATTCAAAAGTAAAAAGGATGTTGCTGTGGTTCATGCGTGGGTTTGCAGTCTTGGAGCGACAGGAGGAGGATTAGATGACTGGCAGTAATAAGGAACATCTATTTATCTAGGTATCTGAGTCACTTGTATTCTCTAAATATGAGAGCGTATGTTTATCTGCCAATATGTTATCAGCCATTTGCGTAGGTTTTATAGTCATCAATATGTGTACTTCATGTAATTATGGAATTTTAAGAAAATTGGAGCATGAGTTTTTAGAACGACTGAAGATCAAGTCATTCTGTCAAGTCCGTCCTACTGAATTGGGGGCAAGAATAGTAGAAACTGATACTTATGACTTTTTACAGTGATTACTTCAGCAAAATCCCCATTGCAGTATGCATAGTCAACAGAATTTTCATCATTGTATATAAGAGAGGGGACATTAACCCAGTAATTGCAGTGTAAAAAAAATTAGCTAGTGGCCAGTAATGTGTGGTTGGAGTGTATTGACAGTTTCTCCATATGTGCTTAGATTACACAGTATTTGAAGTGCAAGATTGGGCGGCACCTCATGATTTGTAAGTGTAGCTTATAGCCACAAGTGTCAAACGTGTCAGTTTTTCCCCTCACTTTAGGTGCCTGTATCTAATAACATCAAACACCAAAGACAGCTCAGTGGATGTCACTATGTGGTGCCATTTGTGACTCGGTCCACCACAGTTCATATAAGGTATATGAAAAGAAAGATGA